TGCTGGCTTCTGGGGGAATCTATTGTTGCTGGGTGGGGGGGGATTTCTTGATGAAGGAGGGGTCTATTGTTGCTAAAAGGTCAATTGTTGCTGGGAGGAATCTACTGTTGAGGGAGGGGGTCTCTTGTTGCTGGCTGCTGGGAGATCTATTGTTGCTGGCGGGGGTGTATTGTTGCTGGAGTGGGTCTATTGTTGCTGTAGGTGCTTTTGTTGCTGGCGGTAGGGGATCAATTTTACTGCTTTTTGTTACCATTAACCTCCTTGGCGGTATGATTATTTCCGATTTTTTTGTGCTGAAAGCGGTACCATTTTTTTGCATGGAAATATGTAGTTTTTTATTGTAGGCTGTAATTTTTAGGAATAACTCACTGAAATCTGTCTGAACAAGAGTCTAGTAAATATTCCGGATATGATAAAACTTGAAACACGAAATCATAAATTATAATTTAATAAATAATCATAAAAAATAATAATATAATAATAATATATTTAATTCAATAATATAATCAAACCAAAAACACTGAAATTTGAAATACAGAGGCAAATTCGCACATCGCTGAGCAAAGTCGCAAAATCGTTTTCAGTGTCTGATGACGAATTTCCCCACAATAATGGTACTCTATGTTATGTGTGCTGGTTTAGGAGTAGCGCAACACTGATTTACATATATTTTGTTCTTAATTGATGTGGGAACACATTAGGATGTATGCAGCAGCTCATGTTTGATTTAGTTATTTAGTTATTTTGTAGCAGAGGCAGCGCATGGGTGATTTTTGTTTTTTAATTTATAAGCCTCTTAAATTGTATTCACTGCCACAAAGAATATCTAAAAAATGTCATGTTCAAGACTCTGAGTTTCTGTAGCTTCTTTTAAAGTGAAACTGTGTTTGTCCCACACAAGGAAAAATAACAAGTTCACTTAACTGCCACAGTACATACTCACCTTCACTTCGCTCCCCTGCTGCTTAAAGTGATTGTAAACCTTTGTGCTTTTTTTTTCTCATTAACTTCCTGAGGATTTACCCCCCTTGCTGACCAGGCCATTTTTTGTGTTACGGCACTGCATTACCTTAACTGACAGTTGCGCAACGCTGCACCCAAATGAAATTTACATATCTATTTTCCCACAAATTGAGCTTTCTTTTCGGAGTATTTGCCTGTGTGTTATTTATTTTTTGCGCTATAAAAAAAAAAAAAGACCGACAATTTTGAGAAATAAAACAATTTTTTTTACTTTTTGCTATTAAACATGTCCAGTAAAAAAAATAAAAAATTAAATTTCATCATAAATGAGGCCAAAATGTATTCTGCTGCATGTCTTTGCTAAAAAAAATCCCAATACGTGTAAATTGGTTTACGTGGAAGTCATAGCATTTACAAATGGCAGTATACATAATGGAATTTTTTTTTACTTATAATGGCGGTGATCAGCGAATTATAACGGGACTGCAGCGGACATTCTTACACTGGGGAGAACTGCCTTGGTGTCACTGACATCCCCAGTGACACCAATACAGTGATCAGTGCTAAAAAAGCACTGACACTGTACTAGTGGCACTGGACAGGAAGGGGTTAACATGAGGGGCGATCAAAGGGTTAACTGTGTGCTGGGAGTGTTTTACTAGGGGGCCGTGTAAGTGTGCTTCTCTGTAAGCACACTACTTTGGATGGCTGTGCTGTGCACAGCCATCCAAAGCAGTGTGCCTGAGCTGACAGGGAGGAGAACTGTTAGTAAACAAAACAACGCTCCTCCCTGTTGGAGATGCTCAGTAATCACAGGGTGCCAGCGGGTAATCACCCGCTGGGACCCGGTGATTGACAGCCGTGGCCGCGAATGGCAGTGTGGGTAGAACGTGCACATGTCTCACACGCGCCCCCTACCCAGAAATGCAAAATCACATATATATACATTATTTTGTGCACCCGTGATGCCCTGTAGCAGTATTTCTTGGGAAGCAGTTAATAAACATGCCATACTTGCCTGCTTTGTGCAATGGTTTTGCACAGAGCAGCCCCAATCTTCCTCGTCTCATTAGGAGCATGCTCCAATGTTATCAGGAATGCATACAGGCATGTGGGGGCCATACAAACTACTGATTACCATTTTGAGTTGCTGCAATAAAATTTCAGCAAAATGGACTAGCTTGATGCATCATTTTTCACTTTGATTTTCGGGGTGTCTTTGAATTCGGTCCTCTGTAGGTTGATAATTTTCATTTCCATCAAACGATGGGTCATCCTTACGTTCCTAACACATTACCCATCCATATCAGTATAGATATCCAGCATGATATTTTTCCCCATTGAGATCTGATGTGTTTTCAAAGTGTTCCTTTCCTTTTTTTGAGCAGTGTAATTTAGTGGCTGGATCTGTATGTGCAAAAAGTAAGGATTTGCATGACTCTGTCCACTGTACTCAAACAAGAAATAATCTTCCTATTTATAAGATATGTGATGGATTGAGAAATGCGAATACCTTCTGTTTTAGCAAGGCTCCACTTTACTATAGTGTTTGCATAGAAAACTGTATGTTTTGCTTAATGCAAGGGATAAGCAATTTTGGTCGAAGTTTGCTGAAGCAGAAACTCCCATTTACTGGTCCATTTTTCAAAAATGTATTCTGATGTAACGTATTTTTTTTAAGGGGGGGAGGTGTATATAGGGTAGGTTAGTTTATTTTATTTTATTAAGCGTTCTTTGTCTTTGTTTGTTTTTTGTTTATCCCAGTGTATTTGATTTCTATTTGTGTACTGTTGTGTAATGCCCTCCCCATTAGGTTGTTAGGTACATTTAGTTTTGGGCTTCTGTTATAACCACAGGAGCAGGGATTGTTTACTTGGGTCTGTTCAAGGCTCTACAAGTTGGGAGTTTGATTGATTGCTTCTAGAGCTTAAGAAGGGAAAATTCAAATACCTGGCCTGAATATTTATTCGTGCCTGCCCAATCTCTCAGAAGGTGTACCCAGATGTTGGCAGGGTTTCCATTAAATATTCTGGAGCCTTGGGTGGACGATCTCCCCGTGTGGGGAAGGATCTGTGAGCTAAGAGGAGAGGGAGCCTTTTTGACCGAATACTGGACTATCTTGCTGGAGGCTGTATCTATGGACTAATTTGGTACCGGGAATCTGCATGCTGTTTTTTATTCTTTAACAAGACCTGTAGACTAGTTAAAGGAGAGTGGGTTGGGAAGGAAATTTTGATTTTGATTTCACCCCAGAGATTTGCTTTATGTGACCCTGGCCTCTAGGTATATATAAGAATAATTGCCTTGCCCACTTTTCTGAAATGACCAATGGATCTGTTTTTTCTTGGTCACACCTTGGAAGCAAAGGCAACAAATACAGCAAGTCACTACAAGAAATGTTACATGGATCAATTAAACAGTGGAATATCAAATTCTTTTGATATCAAATGTAATCATTGCACACAGAAATGTTTAGCTCTTGGTCAAATACATTCTACAGGCAGCAACTATAACAGAGGCTAGACAGTGTTTCCCTATAGAGCAACAAAAGCTAGCGGTCAATGCAGCAAGAGAACTCATTAAGGGGAAGAGTTAGCATTTCAAAGAGCTTGTTGAACAGCAGGGACCAAAAACACCCACAGGTATAGCAGACAGGGTCAAAAAGGCTGCAGCATTACTTTAGGGAGCTTAGTCACAATTTTAAAGTGATTAAAGAGATATACATTAATAATGAGATACCATGGCTTGGGCTGCGTCTCTGGTTCACTGACATAAATTTGGGTCCTTGCTAAAAAACATGTAGATGTTTACTGCACACTCTAAATAAGTAAAGGGGGAATAAAATGACTCAATTGATTTACTAATTGTATTTCATTAGAAACAATGTTTTTAACCCCAATAAACAGAAAGAAAGAACAGCTTTCCCCTACAAAGCAGGTATTTTTTACATATAGTCGATCACTTTTATATCATCCAAATTAAAGGGCTTTACCGTTGTATACTGATGGTAGACTTCGAAGATTGGCCCTGCTGAATTTTCCTAGACAGTCAAAAATGATTACCTTAGGATAATGCTGGTATCATGGACATCTGGTTAGAGCACAAACATACATGCATAGGTTACAATAGCATGCATGTTTAGCTACAATTGTTTTGATAAGAAATTTATTTTTTAATTGATTCCCTTGGTTGACATCTCATGTCTTTGGGCACCATTAGGAAACTCATACACCATTGGTGCTCAACCTGTGGCCCTCCAGGTGTTGCAGAACTACAAATCCCATGAGGCATTACACTGCTGACAGTTACAAGCATGACTCCCAAAGGCAGAGGCATGATGGGATTTGTAGTTCTGTAACAGCTGGAGGGCCACAGGTTGAGCATCCATGTCATACACATGTAAGCCGTGTACTGGGGTGGGTTCCCCAGGATACAGTGAAGTCATGAACGAGGAAAACAACCCCAACACCAGCTTTTGCCAAAACAGAATTTTACTTAGATGTGGCAAATATACACAACTACAAATGCTGGAAACATATATAATAAATTTACATACACCCAGCCCAAAGGCTGAGACCCTTGTGCTGCACAGCACGGCGCCTTCTGATGGATGAAGGTAGAAAGTGAAGTAATTTACCTACTGGCGGGCACAACTAAGCTGCCACACCTTACCTGTTATTACCCTAAAAGAGCAGGAATCAGTGTATGGGTGTACGGTATGGGCTAGCCTGCGGTGCAGCACAACAGCTTACAATCTTACACAAATCTACAGTATTCCCTCTCCTATAACTGGTCCTGTAGCACGTGCATGAGTATTCCTTCTGAGCAAAACGCCAGTCTGGCTTGAGTTTGTAAGATTTGATCAGCTCTCCAATGTGAAATTTCTCTTTAAGTTGTGGAGTCCTTCCAATGATCAGTAACAACACTTGTGGCCTGACACAAACAGAGACCCTAACTAACTAACTATAGGCCTGGACTCAGTCTCAAGGCGCCAACAGTGAAATGAGGTGCGTGCACGATCTTACCGACCCGGGTCTGCTTTGTATCCGCTGGTGATTCTGAACAGAACAAATGTCTCTCCAACAAGCATGCGGTCTTGCCGTATATGTTGCTTAGTTCCTCTGCTCTCATCAGCCTTCCTGGCAGCAATCTCATCAGCATTCCTGGCAGCAATCTCATCAGCATTCCTGGCAGCAATCTCATCAGCTTCCTGGCAGCAATCTCATCAGCATTCCTGGCAGCAATCTCATCAGCATTCCTGGCAGCAATCTCATCAGCTTCCTGGCAGCAATCTCATCAGCTTCACTCAGCTGCAGTTACTGAGGGACGCATTCACACCTGGATGTCATCGGATTCTCAGCTCACACGACCCCTTCATTCAGCATCATTCAAAACATGGCTGCAGTCTCCTCTTCCTGTTCACTAAACTCCAACTCTGAGAGCAAAACCCCACCTCTTCATGAATATACAAATATCTATGCAGTCTGAGCCTGTGTTAAAAAAAGTGACATCTTGTGGCTAAACAGCAGAATGTCAGTCAAAACATTAATTTACTTCCACACAAACAGTGTTCAAACAATGAGAGCTGTTTCCCTATCTCACACATAGTCTGATCATTGGTTAGAGTAGGCTGCTTTAGACCTTTGAGGAAAGAACAAAGATAGGGCGCACAGGCCTAGTGCATTGCCATAAAAAATGTTTAATAAGAAATAGAATAGGTGTTGTACTCACAAACGAGAATAAAGTCAAGGCACATCATAAAAGAACAGCTGGGTCAACACCGCGCTGAGAAACAGTCCGCAATGGGCCAGTGGCTCCGAGGAAGAGGCAAGTCCTCGAAACGCGTCAGACTATTGGATGTCTACACTCCCCATTGCGGACTGTTACTCAGCGCGGTGTTGACCCAGCTGTTCTTTTATGATGTGCCTTGACTTTATTGTCGTTTGTGTGTACAACACCTATTTTATTTCTTATTAATCATTTTTTATGGTGATGCACTAGGCCTGTGCACCCTCTCTTTGTTCTTTCCTCATTCAGTATATTTGGATTCCCCCGGTCCATTTGAGGGCAGCAAGGTGTGCATGTTCCAGGACATTCTTCTTGGTTGTAGCCTGTATCGAGTCCATCCCCAAGCGCAGGAGCATTTGTGTTTGCTGGTTCATTGCTTTAGACCTTTATTTCTCTTTTGTAGAAGAAACTCCTTTTAGTAACCCCTAAAACTTACTCTGTTCTGTTGAAACTCATGTATGTGTTCAAATTCCTTCCTACTTCCTATGTACTTAGTGGGAAGGTGTAACTGTTATAAATGGATGATGAGCCTCAATGTTTTATTATAAAGAAAAATTGCTGGGAAAGACCCTATTAAGTCAATTCCTGGAACCAATCAATATCAAAAAGAGTACAGAATGTGTGGGAAGAAAAAACTTATTGTACACCTATGCAATGTATATCATCACAATTGTTTCAGTTTTTCCTCAACTTGATGTGGAACTTTGACTTGATCAGAGGCAAATCTTTAAAGTCTTTTAGAGGTCTATTATCCAAGACTAGAGACACTTGGAAGATGGCCCTATACAATCTAGATTCGTTCATTGCTCCCAAGAGTTGGAAAGGTATCTGACGTAAGGATGTAAGCATCAGATTTCAGCTGTAGGATATATATACTGGGTATCCAGGAGCCTTTCCTGCACCAGTAACAACTGCCAGGGAACTACTGAAAACTAGAACATCTTTTTGAACAATTAAATCAAAATATGATAATATCTTCAGTTCATCACAAAAAAATGTTTGAACATTGTCGAGTAGTGAAAATAGTGCTCCTCAACTCAAAACTTGGAGGAAGTAGCATGATGGTCATGAGTTATTTTGCTTGGTCACTGGCACATAATTTTTCAGTGCCATGCAATCCCCCTGGTTTACACCTTGGGCTCACAAACAGCAAACTAATGACCCAAAACATACCTCCAGACTAATTCAAGATAGAAGACTTCAAATTATGGAAAGGCTAGCACTGTCTCCAAAGCCGATTGAGCTAGTTTGGGATGACCTGGAAAGAAATGTGAAAACAAAGCAACCTATGTGCAACACATTTGAGGGAACTGTTAAAGTGCTGGGAAGAGCTTTTCGAACAACATTTGATTTCAGTAGAAAAAATGCCAAAAGTGTTTTCAGCTGCCATGTCTACAAAAGAAGGCTGCTTTGATGAGTCAACAATTTAGAGTAAAATTTATGAAACAAAAAGCAGTATTAAATGATTTAATTTTTGTCTCCAAGAGCTAATTTGTTCTATGCTTTAATTTCTGAGTACAGTAAGTAAAAAGAACTATAGGTAATTTGTTAAATGATCCAGTGATACATCATAATATCAGAAGGCAAATAGCCTTTTCTGTGTTTTTAGGTGAGCCTACAGGTGCCAGGCATTTCCCTTTGTAGGGTGACAGCACAAATTTCCCTGCAGTGAAATCACCAGAGTGCTGTCACCTTGTTGAGCATTGGGCCAACATAGCCTAATGCTGTCCACATATTTTGGGGAGAAGAAAGGTCGAAGTGATGCTTGGCAGCTTCTTCAATTTTTTCCATCACCTCTGGTAGCAAGAAGAGCATGTTATCATTTTAAAAAAAAGGTCACAGGGGATACAAAAAGGATTTAAAACTGCACAGAATAAGTGTCACATAAATGACTGTGGAGCCCAAGATGATGAGGATGGCCTATTGCACAATTCCTGTCCAAGATCCCCTGGGAGTGGAGACTGGGACTGCTATGGCAGTAGAAGGGCACAGGTGACTATAAGCTGGAGTAGTGAACCAGAGCTTGGAAACACAGTCCTTCTAGTAGCAGTATGGAGTCTGGTTAAAAGCTATACTATATTGCCAAAAGTATTGGGACACCTGCCTTTACATGCACATGAACTTTATTGGCATCCCAGTCACGTCCGTAGGGTTCAATATTGAGTTGGCCCACCCTTTGCAGCTATAACAGCTTCAGCTCTTCTGGGAAGGCTGTCCACAAGGTTTAGGAATGTGTCTATGGGAATATTTGACCATTCTTCCAGTAGTGCATTTGTGAGGTCAGGTACTGATGTTGGACGAGAAGGCCTAGCTCACAGTCTCCGCTCTAATTCATCCCAAAGGTTTTCTATCAGCTTGAGGTCAGGACTCTGTGCAGGCCAATCAAGTTCCTCCACCCCAAACTCATCCATGTCTTTATGGACCTTGCTTTGTGCACTGGTGCACAATCATGTTGGAACAGGAAGGGGCCATTCCCAAACTGTTCCCACAAAGTTGGGAGCATGAAATTGTTCAAAATGTCTTAGTATGTTGATGCTTTAAGAGTTCCTTTCAAACCTAACTGCTGAAAGACAACCATAATTCCCCTTCTACCAAACTTTACACTTGGCACATTGCAGTCAGGCAAGTACCATTCTCCTGGCAACCACCAAACCCAGACACGTCCATAGGATCACCAGACAGAGAAGCATTATTTGTCACATCTCCACTGCTCTAGAGTCTAGTGGTGGCGTGCTTTACACCATTGCATCCAATGCTTTGCATTGCACTTGGTGATGTAAGGCTTGGATGCAGCTGATCAGCCATGGAAATCCATTCCATAAAGCTTTATACACACTGTTGTTGTGATAATATGAAGGCCGCACAAACTTTGGAGGTCTTTAGCTACAGTTGTCGACTTCTGCGCACTGTGCGCTTCAGCATTGGCTGACCCCGCTCTGTCATTTTACGTGGCATGCCAATGCACGGCTGAGTTGCTGTTGTTCCCAGTTGCTTCTACTTTGTTATAATACCACTAACGGTTGACCGTGGAATCTTTAGTAGCCAGGAAATTTCACAGATGGACAGGTGGCAACCTGTCATGGTACCACACTTGAATTCATTGAGCTCCTGAGAGCAACCCATTCTTTCTCTCAAATGTTTGTAGAAGCAGTCTGCATGCCTAGGTGCTTGATTTTTATACACCTGTGGCCATGGAGGCAATTGGAACACCTGAATCCAATGATTTGTAGGGGGGTCCAAATGCTTTTGGCAATATAGTGTATGTTCAGCAGCAGCCAGGCAAACAGGTGCAGGGTCAAGATCAAGTTCAAGGTCAGGAACATGCATGAGTCGGTAACATACTAGCAGCAGGTACCAAGTCAGGAGGCAGAATCTTGGTCAGAAGTCTAAGCCAAAGTCCAATGCTCTGCATTGGTGTGTTTTTGGGAGAAAATGGAGCATGCTGTATATAAACACAGCAAAATTCTCTGCAACACAACACAGCATACTGCAACATATGTTAAGAAAAGTAATATATTTTGGCTAATGATGTGAACAAAAAAGCCCACACATCAATCCAACAGGTGAACAATATACAAATCAATGCGTAGAAAAACAGATGCCAAAGCACATGAACTCAAGTACGCTTTCTGCACATCTTATGCAGTGGTCTGAATGGACTCTTGGAGTTGACTGACTCACGCCTGTGCTAAAAGTTTGTTGCAAGCATCAAATAGAATTACAAAAGTGACCGAGGGAGCTGTAGAAAAAATATAATTATAGATATATATATATATATAGATATATATATATATATATATATATATATATATATATGAACAGTTGCATGCAAATGGAACCTCGGACGACCCTTTTCTGCATTTCAACAGAATTTTTGCTGCATACGTACAGGTCGCAGCTACTGGCCAGTTTGTATGCAGCCATAGCACAGAGTGTTGTCATGCCCAGAGATGGCACTTAACCATTTCTGAACACAGGAACCTATCTACACCCATATTAGTGTAGGCTTACACTACTGATTTTCTCTATATCAGAGCTGATTGCCCAATTTGACAAACAAATAGACATTAGAGAGAACTACAAATATGTCGATTAAATACCATTGTACATCAGCATTCAAGTACCATGTGTGTCATAGCCAAAATTACTTTCCCATAAACTTTGCATCATTCACATCAAACACTTCCATGGTAAAACTACACTATCATTTCCCTTTAAGGTTTAGTAGCTCACATTTAGACTATAATATTCTGTTTATCATTTGGATGCAGAACTAAAATGGGCTATAACTGCTTGTTTTTCAGGAATTGATCTGGCAAACAGAATTTATATCTGTTATTGGTCTTATAGGAGTTTCACTGATGCGAAATTCTTGCAATATCTTCCCAGGAGCAGTGAAAATGTTCCAGCTTCATAAAATGGCAAGTTATGATGTGGAGTGACAAAACCCCCTGGAGCCGCGTTCCTGTCATCATCCGGTCAGTGTTACATTTGGCGGCACAGCCAGGGATCTCAAAAACTGCTGGTGTTGTCTAATGACACAGCTGGGAGCATTTATAAAAGTAAACCAAAAAGTATATCTAATCATACTCTTCTTATCTAGTGATATTACATGTAAGTGACTAGGGAAAACATATATTTGATTCGCCTGCTGGAAGTTATAAGTGAAATGTGGCTTTCAGCATGAGAGCTAGACATGGTGAACATCGGGTGAATGTAAACGTTACTTACTAGTGTGGACATCTGAGTTTAAAGTGCTTGTAGACCCTAACAATGAACTTCTCTTGTTTGCTCACTTTTGGTTTGTTAAACGTTCCATTGAAAGTTTTTGTTATATCTTTTCAAGTGCAAAAAATGCCTGCTGATCATTAAAGAAATTCAGAACTATCCTGTGCCCTGTTGTGCTGTACCTGTATGACGTACCTGAGATGACAAGGGTGACCTCTTAAACAATTTCCGTCTGAGCAACCGTGGAATTTGAAACAGGATCTGCAAGGGCAATGGAAGGGCTCTGGTGCCAGGGAGATGGAACTAAAAACTGGAACTTGACAGTACTGGTATCAGACAAGCAGAAGTACAGTCGGTGGGGCACCCACAATACACCAATTTCAGGTATGAGTGAGTCAAAAGCCTAGTTCAGTAACAGTTGATCAGGAAGGCTCCCAATCATAGGCAGGATCAAGATCAGGAAAAAAAATCAGAGGTTGGCAATATACCTGCAGCGAGGTACAGAGTTGATAGGTAAGTCATGGTCAAAAGTCCAGAAGAGGTGCAAACATAGACAGACAAGGATAATCCATCAGCAGTTCAGACAAAAGCTAGGTCAATAACAGGGTAAGGTACAGCTGGCATGATCTTTCTGAAGGCTGGCATAATGTTAATAGCACCTGTCAGGGGCGGACTGACAACTCATGAGGCCCCCGGGCAATAGGGGGTCATGGGGCCCCTGTGTTCTTGCCCAAACTCAAAAAAGCCTATGAAAAAGGTACCAGGGGCATCTCATGGGGCCCCCTACTGACCCCAGGCCCTCGGGCACTGCCCAAGTTTCCAAATGGTCAGTCCGCCCCTGGCACCTGTGCACACTTTAATTAGCCCTCGCAATTCTTATCTAGAATAGTTAGGCAGGTAATAGATGATGCAATTGTGCAGGAAAAAATTGCTCAGTTCCCTCATCAACACAGTTAGTGTTGATGGGGGAATTCCTAACGTGGAGCTATTGTAATCTCCCGTCAGGGAGGTGTTGGGGGGGGGGGGTATGACCCTGCTGGGAGAACACAGTGAAAATTGTTAGCAGCTATAGCCGCTGGCAATAATTGCGTGTAAAAATACAACATGCTGGTTGTATCCAAGTCATACAACAATCAAATTGGGTACAATCAGCCTGCCCATAAATTATTAGAATCTCAGCCGATCCCCAGTGAACCGGCCAAAATTTGAGCCATCTATGGCCAGATTTGGTGTCTATATTGTAGAGATCTGAGAGTGGTAGGGGATTATTAGTTTTGCAAAAGACAGACAACTGTATAGGCAGACACCATTCAGTCCACAAAAGTCTGGAAGATTAACAGGTATATTTCTGTTCTTACAGGGTCTTTAACCACTAGCCTACAGGGCACTTATACCCCCTTCCTGCCCAGGCCGATTTCCAGCTTTCAGCGCTGTTGCACTTTGAATGACAATTGTGCGGTCATGCAACACTGTACCCATATGAAAATTTTATCATTTTTTTGTGACAGATAGAGCATATTTTGGTGGTATTTAATCACCTCTGGGTTTTTTTATTTTTTCTTAAACAAACCAAAAACCACCAAAACATTTTGAAAAAAAAGTTTTTTTTCTTAGTTTTTGTTATAAAATTTTGTAAATAAGTGATTTTGCGCCTTCACTGATGTGCGCTAATGAGGCTGCAGTGATGGGCACTGATAGGCTGCACTGATGGACACTGATAGGTGGCAGTGATGGGCACTGATGAGGAGGCACTGGTAGGTGGCACTGATGGGCATTAACAGGCATCACTGATGGGCACTGAAAGGCAGCACTCATATGGCACTGATAAGCAGCACTGCACTGATAGGCGGCACTGACTGGTTGATAAGTGGCACTGATTGGCAGCACTGATAGGTGGCACTGACTGGCATTGATAAGTGGCACTGATGGGTGACACTGAAAGGCAGCTCAGATGGGTACTGATATGTGGCATTGATGTGCACTGAAATGTGGCATTGATGTGGCATTGATGGGCACTGGCAGGTGGCATGGATGAGCACTGAAAGCTGGCACTGATGGACACTGACGGGTGGCGCTGCTGGGGCTACACAGATCATCAGGGCACACTGATCATCAGTGCATTGTTAATCTGTGTACATGTCCCCTCCGAGGAATGCCGATTACTGGCTCTCCTCTCCTCACAAACTGTCAGCGTGATAGCTCCTGGGGAGAGAAATGCTGATAAGCGGCATTTCCCTGTTTACATGTGATCAGCTGTGATTGGACACAGCTGGTCACATGACCGAGCCAACATCTTCAGCTCTTTCCATTGATCGGTGATCCGCTGTGTCCGAGGGACACAGCGCACCGCCGATTGCCGCTCTGCGCGCTCCAGGAGCCACTCATGCGCGGTTGGAACGGGAGGATGTCATATGATGTCCTCCCAGAACAAGAGAACCACCTTGAGTACGTCATATTACTCTATGGCGGGCGGGAGGTGATTAAAACATAGGAAAATGTTCATACATTGGAGAGATGTACTGCATATTGTTATTTTGCCCTGGCCTAAAATCTAAAGTGGGTTTCCATGAAAAGACAAATGTGCACATCAATTTGGCTTTGAATCTGGCTTTTATGCAATAATATGGAGGAGTTCCCAAATTCCATAGTTCCTGATAAAAGAAGAGGACCTGTGTCCTACTGTTGCTTACACTACCTGGACAATTGCAGTCTATTCAGTGAAAAAAAGAAGTTCTAATTCACAATTGCTTTACTTTAAACACACCTGATTACAACAATATCTTCAAAACCAACACGGTTTTCCTTGTTCCTATGGTTAAAAATAATTGTTGATTTAACCCCAACAACTAATAAGTTATTAAGTTTTTCAAATGAAATTCTATTGGTGTATGGCCAGGTTTACACATTTCTCACACATTACTTATGCCTGTGCTTAGAATAAAAAATATAACCGGTGACAGGTACACTTTAAATCTCTGGTGCCTAACCGGCAATCTGTGGGTCTCATGTGTCCCTTCAACACCTTTTGTGTGGCCCTCAAGATCCCTCGAGACACTAATCTGTGTTTCCTGTTTTAGTAGTGATTTCTATCAGCCTCTCCTAATCTCAGCCTTTCAGTCTATGACTGTCTCCTGAAGCATGTCCCCAGTCTCCAGCAACTCGTATGGCATGTTCACAGTCCCTGACAATCTCTTGTGCCATGGCCACATTCTCTGACCATTTCTTGCGCCATGTCCACATTCTCTGACCATCTCTTGCGCCATGTCCACATTCTCTGACCATCTCTTGCGCCATGGCCACATTCTCTGACCATCTCTTGCGCCATGGCCACATTCTCTGACCATCTCTTGCGCCATGTCCACATTCTCTGACCATTTCTTGCGCCATGTCCACATTCTCTGACCATCTCTTGTACTATGTCCACATTCACTGAACATCACTTGCACCATGTCCACATTCTCTGACCATCTTCTCTTGTACCATGTCCACATTCACTGAACATCTCTTGTGCCATGTCCACATTCTCTGACCATCTCTTGTACTATGTCCACATTCACTGACCATCCCTTGTACCATGTCTACATTTTCTGACCATCTTGTGTATAATATCCACAGTCTCTGGTCATCTCATGTATCATTCCCATAGTCTTTCACTATATCCTATTGAGTGTCTGCTGTCTCTGATAAAGAATATTCACTGAATTTTACTTGAGGACCCGCAAATCAAGAAAGCTGACCACCACTGCTTTAAATAGTTTGTCAGACTTCTATACCCAATAATGTTAGTTACAACTAAAAGCAATACAAAGGGAGTTTACAGTACAAAGCCAAACATTTACCAGCTCACCCGCTGAGGTGAATTTCTGATCAGGTAAGTCCATCTTGATCAAGTAGAAAGGTAGGTTTAAAACACTGCATTGCGTTTTGGACATTGCATCCTTTTACAGTGACTGCTGAAGAAAAGACACATTCTTTGAAATGCATTGCAGTGTTTTAAAATGTTCTTCTTAGCAAAGCTAAGTTTATATGTGAAACAGAGATAGATTCTCTTTTTTACAGAGAGAGCTTCCCTTACGTTCCTTACTACAGGCTAGTCACTTTGTCATTGCCCGCAATAAACTCCAGCTGCCTGGTCTATAGAATTCCTCCCTATCATTTCTGTTTTAGTAACTGCACATTATCCCCACTAGCAAAGCTGGAGGAGGAGGATGCACAAAACATATTTAGCACATCTGACAAAGATTAGAATACATATCTCCATCTATAACATTAATCATTGGCAACCTGCAAGTCTAATTTTCCCGTCTAGTATCTCTTTTAAGTAGTAACCCAAAATTTTCTTTTATTTAGCTTATTATTTCATATGGAGTTATCAGGGTTTTGTTATGTCATTGGCTAAAACGTAACATATATTTATTGTGATTGCTGTAGCTTTATACGAGTATTTTTTCTTCATCATGACAGTATCCCTAATTACAGCCACCTTCAAGGCATTAATTGTCCTCTGCTGGGGAAATTACAACTGCCTGCAGTGTATTAAGTTTCCTCAAGAGACCAGCACTTGACATATCATTTTCTTTATATTTTCCCTGTTACAAACCTAGGGCTGAACTGAAGCCCTATAATGAATACAGAATTGAAATTTTGATTCATGTAGTAGTCTGAGGTTAACCTCTTTGTCGACAACCACCTCACTGGCAGAAGATGGAACTCGGTGTATTGCAAATTAGGATTCCATTAAAAAGGGTAACCCCTGCATATAGTATAGTTAAGTAAACCTTTGCTTTGGCCCCTGTTACCTATAGTCACCTTCCTTTTGCTCCCCATCACATCTATATGGAAATCACCTAGACAAATCCATCTATATGGCCTTGACCAATGGTTTCCAAACTTTTCAGTGCAGGTGTCAGGGTCTGGATCTGAACCTGAGACCTGTACAGTGTCTGGCTATTTCACATCTCGCTGTGCCGCTTGAGTTGCTAGACAGCTCCTTGTCTAATCCCTTAGGACAATCTTGCCTTGAGTCTTGTTTCTAGTGACACTTGAACTATTTGCTCCTCCCATGGACTTTCTGATTTATGCCATATTTCTGTACTGTTTGCCAGATTATTGTGGTCATCTCCAGCTAATATCTTGCTCCTTTCAGTCCTGCTGCCATCCATATCTTCATTACCACTCATTACTGACCTTAGCTTGTTCCTCGACTACACTTCTGCTTAATCCCAACCTGCAATCATTCACTACCAACCTCAGACTGTTCCTTGACTATGCTTTTGCTTGATCCGTACCTGGAGCCACTTGTTACCAACATTTGCCTTTTTACTGATGACGCTTCAGCTTGATCCCTATATCTGCTACTGGACCCCAGCTTCCTCATCTCCTGGTGGGGCGATCCTGAGGATGGCAACCTGGTACAACAAAACCCATCTCCACAATCAGGAACTCTGGTAAATTCCAATTAGTGCTTAGACCCCACACCTCGGGTAAGCCTGTGTAATCCTCCAGGGTGACCTGCTTCTGTACCTATGCTGCTGGTCGGTGGGAGTCTCTCTACTGCTAAAGCCTCTGGTAACTGAGCATGACCCCTGACTGTGACAACAAGGGCCACATTTGATATTTTACAAATATTTGTGAGCCAGATTAAAAAACAATTTTTATAAATGAATGACTCAAATTCAAATGAATGAATAAGATTTACTTTGAGTTATTTTGTAATGCACATGATATGATTCAGAAAAAAAATGTAAGTAAAACAAAGCAAAGCAATCCCAAATAAACCTGAATCCAATCAAAGTTCCTCCCACCCCCGTACATCAGAGTTCCCATCAAACTCCTTCCTTACATTAGAGACCCCTTTATATCAGAGCCCCCCGTACAGAGTCCTCATCAAAATTCCCATCAAAGCCCCTTTATATCAGATGCCCCATCAAAAAGTCCACCCTTACGACAGAGCACCCCATATATCCCCCTTACATCATATTTCCCCCCTACATCAGGGTCCCCATCAGAGTTCTTTCTTATATCAGAAGGCTGGATAAAATCTTGGAGTGGGCTGTGGTTTGGAGAACCCTCCAAAGAATTTTAGCCGATGACATATCAAAAACTCAGAAAAAAGCGTTATGATGGGCGCAAAAAAGTATGTGAAACTATGAAAAGTCTTATAACAAAAAAGTGTTCATGAAATAGCGAAGGCTTGACACAATCAGGTCAGCATACAGTGCTCCAAACAGGGCCTAATGCACAAGTGGTATCCAATAATTCCGTGTGGCTTTATCCGTGCAGAAGATTGTAAGAAAAGCGCACTCACCAGATGTGCATAATTAAAGCGCAATATCTTGAACAAGAATTTGCAGGAAGCCCCCTTTAAATGGATCTGACAGACAGCATGGAACCAGGATCCCTCCTCTGGACACAAGCCTCCTCTGCAACCATGCTTCCACTGGGGTCATTCGGCTATTTTCTAGGTTTTCAGAATTAGGATCTCCTGGTGATCTGTGTCCCCCGGGGCTGTTCTCCGGGCTGCTGCAGGGGCTGTGTGTCCTGTTCTCGGGCTCTCCGGGACTCCCTCTCTCTCCTGACACCACCTCTGGTCTGTGGGAACTCATGCGAGAACCCGGCACAATCCAGCAGTAACACAACTAGTCCAGCATGGGGGGCCCCCGGGCCATACACGCATCCAGGCTGCACCAATTGCCTATATGAATGAGTGTGGCACGGGCACCCTCCTACTACAAGGTGTCATGCTGACAGCAGCCTAGGTGGGGGGAGCTATGCTCAGCTACAGCCGTGCATGGCCTCACGACGTGTCCAACGAGAGGAGGACAACAGCTGGCCGCTTCTTTCTGTTCTTGTCACCCTGAGCCCAGCTCCGCCATCTTGCTACAAGACTCGGACCTCAGGCAGCACAAACTGGGAGGACTAGGCGGGGGTAATCCCAGCGTGCACTGCGCCACTATACCATAGACGGCTCCCTCGATATACTACACCAGCCAGCGCTGCAGACGAGAATAGGCATAAGGGTTCCTTTTTTTCAGTGTATATGCGGCTGGCGCAATTGGTTCCCTGAGCGCTTGCTGATTCTTTGTGTGGTTTTATATAAAAACTGGTGACTCAAGAAATAGTTTGCTAAATAAAACCAGAAATTCAGGGTTACTATTGAAAGAAGACCTGTGTAAGCTCTCAGTCAAACTGATCAGTCCTTGACATGGTTAAAGACTCCTAATTCACCTCCACATTGATAGCACTCATTCCTGTTTATGGGCCCCAGGGTCACCCAGTGCTGCATCTTGGGAGGAAAGAGGACAGTCACACGGTTCCCTAAGCCCAAAAGAACCAACAAGATGTTTTA